CACAGTAATGCCTTGCTGCTCACAAATCACTTTAGAGACATTTCAGCTTCTTCACACGATGCTCTCTCCAAATCTCTATTGTATTGTGTTAAGGCTTCCTGTAACACCACTAAAACATTGTACACACAGCAGCCCCTTAATCTTTATGAGGAAAAGGAAGAAAAGAATAGGTGGATCGGCAAGTTTTCTCTGCAACATACATCTTAAACTGAAGTGCATATGTTTAACCTTTCTTGGCTCTTCTCAGGCTATATTTAACTATTTTTGTTTATTTTATTATCCTCTATTGCACATTTTAGTGTGCCTGAAGGCAAATTGCATGTTTTTAGGAGTCTGACCGTTTCAGTGACCGCTTTTGTGGAACGCTGCCACAAATACCAGCACTGAAAAAACTCATGGAGCAGTTAATTGATATTGGGAACTGAAATGAGGCCACAAGCCAGGAAGGGAAGGAACTGGTTTTCTTGCTGAAGGAAGCACAGTGGGAAATTTTAGCCTTAAAAGTTAGTGTTGGAATTCACTCAGGAAAACTAAGGACACACCCAGACAGACTGGAACAAAACAAGATGTTTATTACAGATTCAGATTTTGACTGCTTATTAGCATTCACAGGAAATAAATGACTACTGAAAAGGATGAGGAGCCAGAACTGTGCTTATTGCACTTATAGAGTAAGACTGAATATTCACTCTCCCTTGCACACAGTGATATATTTATAAAAAACTAACTTAGTTTGACATTCTATTTCCTAGGGAGTGGTGGTGCAGGGAGCCCCCTTCTGACTATGTCAGTTGCCAAATGTTGAATTCTACTTTGAAAATAAGAAGAGTGAATTATGTGATCATTTATGATATGCAGTACTTTTTAAACATCAAGTTAATGTCATTTAAAGCCTAAATAGGCTCTTTCAGTACTAACTTGTCAGAAATATTCACATCTGACAAAATACATCAGGTAATAAGAAAAGGCCTTTTGTGAATGTTCAGGAAGTGCCCAATAATATTTTAATAGAAAGGGAAAATCTCAGCTGATGTAGCTGTTAATAGCAGACTCATTTAAGTACTGGGTTTGAAGCAGCTCAGCAGACCTTGAAAACACAAGTGCTGTCCACAAGTACTCAGAGACACAGGTACCTTGCTGCTGCAAGTCGTCAGTGCCACTTGAAAGCTGGTTTAATAGACTGAAAAGGAATGTTCGGAAAAAAATGAAGATACTAGTAAGTGTAGATAGTATCATTGCTCCCTCCCATGCTTTCTCCATTTGGCAGGATGACAAATAGTGCACACAGCACTTTCAGCCAGCCAAATGATGACTTTTCAGAAAACCTTCAAGAACTTAATATTCTTTAGCCCTTTTACAATTTGGCTCAAAAATATTGCCAATTGACACTGTAAAAATTCCAGTGATTAAGTAATTGATCACATGTTTAGGACACAAAAGAGAAAGTAGTATCTCACCAGTAACTTCAGAGACAAAAAGGCTGAATGTCTTATGCCTTTCACTAGGTAGGTTCAGCCTTTCTTTCTTAATCACTGTAGGGTCAAAGTTCTCCTCTTGTGCCCCGTGGCTGTGTTTACAAACTGGAATACATCAACTACTGCATGCTACTGGACAGTGGTTTAACTCAGATTCCACATAAGAGGCCACAAAGCTACAACAAGGTTTTGTATCAGAGCAGATAATTCACAGCTGCTAACCAAGCAAAACATACAATAAAAAGTCTGAACAACAGGGCCAACGGCTGGGACAGAAGTGTCCTGACCTGGAAAGGAGAACTCACACTTTAACCTTCTGTTAAACCTCCAACATATTTAAATGTGGCATCTGTTTTCACCTCAAGAGGTTGTTTTTATCTACTAGATACCTAAGAATTATTGTTATTTGTGCCTTCCATCTAGCATGTCTTGGTTTTGTAGAAATATTTACAACAAATAAAATTATCACAGATTCAGACATTAGGAATTCAGATTCACTGTGATCACCTAGAGGCACATAAAATCATTCCATTTTGAATTATGTTGCCACTTTCCAGAAAATTCTAACCCTGATAGGACTAAATGAATCAGTTTGAAAAGTAAGTAAATCAGGCTGTGCAGTATCATCTCCTGTCTTTTGTAAATTGTGCCACTGATTATTTTTACTGTTGTTCAATAAGAAAGGAAAAACAGGAAGTGCGATCAATGTCCCTAACCTACTTACAATCATGGTACAGGATTGCTTCAGCAAGTTCACAATATGACACCAAACTGAAAGGCATGGGAGAAGGGATTCCCTTCAGAGAGACCCCAATAGGTTTGAGGGGTGGGCTCATAAAACTTGGCATTGTTCAGCCGGGAAAAGAGAAGGCTACAGGCAGACCTTAAAGCAGCCTTTCAAACACTTAAAGGGAGCTTATAAGAAAGATATAGACAGGCTTTTTACCCTTGCCTGTAGTGACCGAACAATGGACAGCGGTCTGAAACTAAAAGAGGAGAAATTTAGATTGGACATAAGGAAGAAATTCTTTACTCTGAGGATAGAGTCAGATTGCCCAGAGAAGCTGTGGATGTCCCCATTACTGGAAGTCTCCAAAGCCACATTGGTGGGGTGGCTTTGTGCAACCTGGTCTAGGGAAAGATGCCCTTGCCAAAGGCAGGGAGTTTGGACTAGCAGGTCCCTTCCAACCCAGACCATTCTGTGATTCTGTGATTCAGAAACAACTTCTGGGTTCACCCGAAGTGACTACATTATTCATAGTCAGTTAGTGTTCTATAGATGGAACATTTTCTCATTTAGCTATTCAAGTTATCCTATATTCCCAGGTGTTGTAGGATTTCTGAGGGAGAGAGGACATGATTTATATTTGGACTAAGGATTGAGCTACCCTCCTGCTGGGCCTCAGATAAGTGGCCTTGGTGGGGCCTGTGAAGCCTTTTGCATAGTAAGGAACTAGTTGTGGCACAGTTAGAAATTACTTTAAGGTAACCATGGTGTTAATAGGATTTCTGGGTGTGTAGAACTGCAGTGTGAAACTCTTGCCACCTTGGCACAGGGACAAATAATGTTTGCTGACCAATGATAGCGTGTTCACAACTTGTAAACTATATTGAAGTGTATATAAACTGCCATTTTTTCGACAATAAAGAGATAACGTAGCTTTAACCACACTGGCTCAACCTGCGTTTGTCCAGTCCAGTTTCCCTAATATTATAAGTCCCTAGCTTCTCCCAGGCATAAATAATAAATGTCACAGGCATTTAAAACTTTTTCCTCACTATACTGTTCACTTCAATAACCAAAACCTAGTTATATTAGATGTAAACTTCTGTCCAGGCAACTGTCCCTGAGCTGTAAATCAACATTTGCCTATATCAGCAACACAGAGTAACACATCTCCACTGATTTAGTAGCTTGACTGTCACCAACAATCTCATCCATGTCCCTCCAAGACCACTACTTGTGAATTATCACTTTACTCAAAGTGCTGACCTTTATGCATGCGTAAGTTTGGCTTGAAGCAACATTGAAGACAATCTTCCTCATGTATAAAACAGAATTTCAAATGACAAGCCAAAGCTATTACAGGTGAATCTGCTTAAAATTAATGTTGATGTTATTTTAGTTAGTGCTATAAACAGAGCACTAATATACACTTAGAAATGTCTAAGCATAATGACACAAAAGCTAATTTCTGTACTAAGATTTTCCCAGAAGCTCCAAGTGGCGACATCTGCTTGCCCCTTTTTCTTTTATTTATATTTATTCCTCCTAACTGTCTTGGCTGCAATGAATCATGTCTCTCTGCCTCAGCATTAGGCAGTGCTCTCATAACCTCCTGTAATTTAGCTAAGGCACTACACTCCAGGCTGTTCTGCAAAGAGACTTGCCAACTCTGCCTTTCAGCCACTGTGAGTGCTTAATCTGATATTCCCAGGTAAGGAGGAGCCAAAAGAAGCAAGCAGACCACAGCAGCCCCAAGAAGCAGAGCAAGGTCTATTCCAGCAAAGAACATTAAATCCTTTCGAGAGAACAGGAGAACCTGACCACTCCACAAGCAAAGAAGCGAGCACACTGACAAAAACGGCACAGATATTCCAACTTGCACCTGACGTCCTGTGTTTCGCCCACAAAAAATCTGAACATTGGGTTTTTGTAAGTGTGGGAATCAGTAGTGTTGTAGAATTGTTAGATGATAGCTTAATCCACCAGAGCAAGGCAGGTAGGACAGCTGTACAGGTTTCCCTATAGCTGGCACCAGCTTCATCCTGCTCCTCCCTAGACACGGTGTCACCGGTCGGGAAATGTGTAAGGTGTGCACTCAGAGCTGAACTCCTGCCAGTGTTCAAGCCTGAAATAACCGGAGTGCCACAGCCTGCGGTGCGAACCAAGGCTGCGCTCCCGGCGGGGCAAACAGCAGGACACTGCTGGGATCCATGTGGCCCATTCCGGCTCCTGAACGCAGACACAGAGCCACGTTTACACAAGAAACATTGCTTATTCTGCAAGGGAGCAAAGTGGAAGTTTCCACAAATCAAGCACACCAAAGAGTAAAAGGTCACAGCTTTCACGCAGCAGAACATTCTCGGCCCACATAATGCACGTGTATTTCTGTGACTTAACCTTGCGCAATTCTTCAAACACAGCACTTTCCTTTATTAAGCAACTTTTACTGCATGTTATCTGAGGGCATTGGTTATGTTTATAAAAGGCATGGGGAATTCAGCCTGGGGACAAACAATTCAACCTGAAGGCATCGCAACCACAGTGCACGGGAGGGAGGTGTTTAAGTGATGTCCCCCCGTAAAGACAAAGGGAACTCCGGGAACTTGCCCGTCGCAGCCGCGAAGGGCCGGGGATCACAGGGATCACAGGGATCACAGGGAGCCCCACAAATGCCCCGGGAACACCGGGAGCTCCCACAGCAGCAGGAACCGCCGGGAGCGCCCCCGCACAGCCCCACACGCCTCGGCGGGAGCGGCCCCGCGCATGCGCAGGCGGCGGGTGCGCCGCTGTCTCCCTGGCGGAGGCGCCTCCATGGCGGCGCTGCCGCGGGGGGGGAGCCGATGCTGGTCCGCACCTCGCCGCCTTTCCAGGCGGTGTGGCTGCTTGGAACTCCTCCTGCATGGACAGCCAAAGCTGCAGCCTCGCGTCTGCGGCAGACTCAGTACGCGGCTGCAGCGCTGCGGGAGGAGGAGCTGGCGGCGCACGGCGTGTCCCCCCCCCCCCTTCGGGAGGGATGCTTGGCCCCGCGGGAGGCGCGCCGGGAGCTGTGGTGTGAGGTGGTGGTTGTTGCCTTCGAAGCCGGGTACTTTCCTCTAGTACGTCTTTTTAGACTCCTTGTACTCCTCTTGCGTCTCTGCCGCTTTTCCAAGTAAGTCTTCTCCCCTTTATTCCCCCGCAGATGAAAGCAATGGGAGTTGGTCAGTGACTGGAGCATGCACCAACATGACCAAAAGGTGTCCCAAGAGCATGGTATTCTTGGCTTTTCTTAGTAAATTTTTGCTCTGTACAAAACGTTCCTTAATTGTGAACCTTGAAATATTTCTCAACTGATTAATTGCTCGTTTTCTTAAGCTGTGAGTTTAATTTTGCAGACTTAAGGAGTTCCCATACTTAAGTTTTGGCCTTTGTGTTGCCTGTTCATTCCTGTCCAGAATGGATGTGGTGTCAAAAAAGGCAAACAGGAATTCTTGCTTAAACTAATTTAGGGAGCTGGTTATGTACCTTCCCCCTCTGTTTTTGCAGGGACAAAAAACCCCAGACGACCTGTAAAAATAGTGTGGTTGAGTGGCCAGATTTTATTCTTCAGTCTTTTAAAGTGGAGAATCTGACAGTTATTGAAAGCAGAAAAGCTAACCTGATAATGGCCACTTTTAGCATTGTTTAGCTCTCCTGTTTGTCATGACCTTTACATCTGCAGGTAATTAGTACATAACTTTTCAGGTTTCCAGCTGTGTCCTCTAGTTTTTCTATTGTAAAAAGATATTTACAGCTTAATACTCATGCATAGGAAAGATTAAAATCTTCTTAAAGGGGAAAAATTGTTGTAGGTTTGTGGCTGTGTTAGTCAGTATTGAATAATATGTTGTCTACTCTTTTACTGGGCTTTCCTTGATGCCTTTTTGAAAGTATAAAGTGTACTTCGATATTATCAGATTCCTGACATAATGTTTAATGCTAGGAATGCTCCTTACAGGCTTCTAGCATGTTTTGCCGGAAGTTTGGGATCTCCCAGAAATAGCCCTGTGTGGTGAAAGCCTCTAAGTGTGAGAAGGTCATGTAGGAAGAAGCCACCAAGTGCTGATTGCACAGCTGTGAGTAACAATAATTCCTTGTACAACTCTGTCCTGTAGCCTGCTCTTAAAATGCAGCAAGCTTTCTGCTAAGAAGGAGGTTTGGCACAATGACTTCAGAGCTGAAATTAGAACTGAAACAGTGAGAGTGAGATCAGCCTGATGGCTGTATTCTTACCAACAAGAGCAAAGTGGAAGCTCTAAAATAAAAATTTTGGTGTGGTGGCTTGTTAAATGACTGCTTGTTATATGGCTGCCAGTGTGTCCAAGACAAGGACATGCTTTCTCATGTTTGGTTTTTAGGGGTGTGGTATTGTGGAGCAGCTTAGAACACAAGGATTGAAAATGTTAAAGAGACTGGCAAAATATGAAAGAAAGCTTGGAATCTCGTATGCCAGATATTACTTCACTATAAAGTCTTGGAAAAGCCAACATTATTGAAAAGCTGAGTAGTACAAGTCAGCCCAAAATTCATTAGTACAAACAAGGTATTAATAAAAATTGCATGCACTATCAAGTCTTTCTTTGTTGCTGAGGCTGTGATTTATGTAAATTACATAACCAAGGATGTGACACATAATCCAAGTCTCTTGAGCCAGGAACTTCTAGGTCAATACTGGAAATCTGGTGTAGAATGATCCAGTACTACATCACTGTAGCTTTTGTTTGGGTTGGGTTTTTTTTCAGGAGAAAATGTAACTAATCTTCAATGAAGTGATGAAAATCTTTCAGGTTGGCCATGATGCTCTTGAAAATAGTAAAATCAGAAAGTTTCATCAATGAAATGTTAAAAACTGCTTGAGCAGCACAGATGCACTGAATCCTGTATGACTCCTGCTGGTAGGAAATGAACTTGTGAAATCCATCCACACCTGTACACCACACACTGGGGACTTTTGGAGGGCTGCTACTTGTTTTTCCAACATAAAATTGTTAATTTGTGTATGATTGGCTTACTGTTCCCAGAGTGTTTTCTAATGTAGAGTCATATGCAAGAGTTAGTACTGCAGAAATTTCTGTTGATTCCCACTAGCCAGAAAGTGTTATTACTGCCACCAGCTTGTAGTTACCATCTGAATTCTCACTTAGGTGGGCAAAAGGCCTTTCTTACAGGCAGACTTCTGAAAAATCGGATTTGCAAATTTTACCGTTTTGCCCATGGGATGAGGGGAAGCTCATTTTTGTAATTTTGTATTACTGTTCGGGATTTAGAGGATGTTACTGAAAAGAGCTGTGTCCAGTCTCACATTGTGTGTTTTTTTTCCTTAGGAAGAATTGTTAGGAGCGGCCTGAGAGCAATGCCTGTCTATTGAAACACTCCTCCTTATTTAAAAGATGGACTATTAAGCCTCTGTGTAGTAAGACAAAGTGCATTTAACTGCATTGTGGCAGTGTCTGGTAATGTTTATATAAACAAAAAAATAAATATTTATGTTTCTGTTCTCAGATTTCTGTCTTTTCCAAGATTTAGTAACAATTGCTTTTGTTTCAGAGTTCAGACTTCTTGGTGTTATTGTTGAGATACCAGTGCACCCCTTTGGATGAAACAAAGCCTAGGACTGAGCTGGGATGAGATGACTTAAACCATTGTCTCCTGTAGTATTTGGAGATAGGGTTGGCTGAGATGTGTATTTGTAGTGAGTCAAAGTAGAAATTTAAAAAGTAGAAGCTCAGCAAACCTGGCTTTAAAAATAGCAGGAAAGGTGTTTATTCAACATGGAGAATGGCCAGCTTGGTTTATTATCACCTTGACCAGTTATGTCATGTGGTACTTCAGCATAACTTGGAGTGAAAGGCTCTTGAGATAATTGGGATTGCTGTTTATTTTACTAGGAAGACTTAACGTGTTTTATCAGAAGAACAAATATTTAAATTGTGTATCTTGCAATGTGTGATTTTTCAGTGCTGAATGTAAGCATATTTCTAATTCTAAGTGTAAGGTTGTTTTTAATTTGTCAAGCGAGAAGGTTTAGACAAGAGTAATTAATTTTTAGAGATCCAGCTTGTAATTATGGGATGTACTTGAAAGTTTAGGGGTTTTATTAGGGATTACATTCCCTGAAGATACCATCTGTCCAGAAGTTCTGCTCATGGGCCTTTGTTCTTGAAGTGTAAGACCAACAGGAGTAGCTTTTTTTAACGAAAAAAAAAAAATCTCAAGAGCAACAGCTAGTGACAGGACTTGATGATTGGTATCTAAAAGAATAATTACCTTTCAACTAAAAAATATGTATAACCCTCAGCTTTAATGTGTAATACAGGTGTTAAGTGGGGTAGAGCAAGAGAAGTGAGGTTGAGGGAGCAATAGGTGCATGACAAGTGTCACAGATTACTTAAATAATAATGTTGTTAAATGTGAAGTATGATGTTAAACATTAGGACTGCCTTTTATTTTGTATGACTGGTTAACTGAATTGCACCTTTAACAAAACAGACTATGAGAATCTGCTCAGCAATAAAATCTGAAGAGAAAGGATAAGGAATTTGTATTCTGGAACAAGTTACTGCATGTACTGAAGCTCTACTTTGCAGGACCTGGGTGGAGACCATGTGCTCCTGGGAAGTAGAAAAGTAAATCTTCTGGAGTTTGGTTTTTTTTTTGCTTTTGCTTCTGCTTTATTAAACTCCTTTATCTTGACCCACAAGGAGTTTTTCCATCTAATTCCCTTACCCATCCTGTTAAGGAGGGGAGTGATAGAGCAGCTTGGTGGGCACCTGGTGTCCAGCCAAAGTCACCATACCACAGCTCTTATTCAGGAGAGCAAATACAGGAAAACAACAGACACATTAAGGACACAGTGTTTGCCACACTGGCTCTGTATCTTTGTGTTTGCTTTGACAGCTTACACAGTCTGCTGTTGCTCTCTGGTGATTTTTAGGTGAGAAAGGAAACTGGTATAGATGTGCACTGGAAATGCAAAGCTTACACTGACAACTTCCTGCTACAAGATAAAATACTTAATCTGGAGAAGCTGTATCCTCAAGTGGATTTTAATTGGTACTACACCTGTTTTTACCAGATGGTGGTGTCAAATGAATCTGTATTTCTGAAGGCTTTGCTCCTTAGTGTAATGTAAATAAGACACACAGGCAACCATGCAATGCCCTAAAAATTCAAGTTTTACTTGACTTTTAAATAACCTGGACACAAGTATTGACACAGCCATCTATCAAATTCATTTTAAAATAAAGCACACAGTTGCTTCATGAATACCTAATGTACATGGAACAAATGTATCACATTGTTATATTCAAGTCTGTTGTCTTCAAACACTTTTCTAGGGAGTTCTGAATTAAACAAATCTTCCCAAAAGAAAACATGCTATCTCTTCCAGTCACTATCCACCTGTATAAAGAGAATGAATTTGGCAACTTAAATGGTAATGACTTTTCAACAAACATCATCAATATCATGAGCTTGGTTAGAATACAAGTTGCAGAGTTAGTGATACCTGGTAAGGGGTGCAGTGTAGAAAATAGCAGGTCCAGGCTAGTTCCAAATGAAAGAAACCAGCCAACTAAGCAAGGGAACCAGTACAGGATATACAACAGTGCTTTTGTGCTGTGGTTAGTAAGCCCTCTTTGTTGTATAAAATACATGTTTTGCAAAAGGTTGTACAAATATGTTGTAATTGTTGCTAATATAGTGAGAGTTCTGTAACTTACCATTGCTTAGCACTTACGGAAGTCTCAGAAGAGGTAAAGTCAGAGGCACAGTTAAAATCATTGGCCTGAGATCAATTCAAGAGAACTAGGATGAGAATGTCTCAAATACCAGTCCTTTGTCCAAGTGAGCAGGCATTCAACCCCAGAGTAAGCTTCCTGACACTGTTACACACCTCATGTCTTTTGTCTGATTCATCAGGATGTAGAATTTTAGACTGAAATCCAGCCTCCAGATCTGAAAATGCAACTGCAGTGAAGGCCTCAGGAGAGCTGGGGGAGGGTAACAACAGTGGAGAGGGCAAGGTGTAGCTCAGAGGTGTAAGAGGCTGGTCACTTAGATATGTAGAGCTGGTTCAGGTGTGGAAGGCATAGTTGTGACACAAGAAGTGTTTTCAGTGATTGATCACTTGTGTGTATCTCTCACAAAAATACCATAAAAAAGGTGCTTTTCCTCAAATGATTGAGGAAAAGAAACGTGAAGGGAAAGGAGGTTCACATATATGAAAGAAATTTGCTTTTCTGACAGTGATATCCTTGTTGCAAGTTTTGCCTTGTTTTGGCACAGCAAAACATTTGGAAAACATGTAATGGAGGCGTTACATCTTTAGTCTCTTGTGGACACAAAACTGGATTGTAGTGGCCCAGACTAAAAGCCTTGCTAAAAACATGCTTCCTACATAGTCTTACCAGGGAGAGACTCAAATCTAGAGCTCTCTCCATAAACTTCTCATCTAAATGCAAAAAACTTGGCTTGATTATGAAACAACTCTCCAATGACTTGAGAATTTTAACCTTTCACTACTAGACTAGACAGAAGCTATTTTCTGAAGTAGTGCAGTTAGTAAAATACCATGCATTTGGCTGATGGTATCCAGCAATAACACAAAAAAGGCCTGCAGGAAGATGAAAGCATAAAGGAAAACGTGAGGTTGGATATAAACCTTCTTGATCAATATTTAAAGATTGGCAAGGTAGGTACACTATGGACAGATAATTCTCAAATAATAACACAAATCCTCCTGCAGTAGTAGATATGTACTACTTACCTGTGCCTGAGTAAGGATAGCAAACTAATGGTAATGATTAGAAAACAGCAAACTATAAGCAAGTGTGTAATGCTCCAAGCTGGAATACCATCTCAAAGGAACAAGGAGTGGCTTTCATTGCTGACACTAACCACTTCTTGTATAGTTTGTAATTTTTCAGTTATATTCCAGAAGATTGTGATGCTCTCCATTAAGCCATTTTGCCATGGTGATGCTTTTTGTCCTAGGGGTTGGTCAGGTTTTTTTGTTGTGGTTTGGGTTTGGAATTTTTCTTTCATTTTGGTTTTGTTTGGGTTTTTTTTGTTTTGGCTTTTTTTGACTGTTGTTCTCGACAATACTATACAAGGTCATAAACAGATCCTAAAGGATAATTTTAAATTGGAGCAATGACAATGAAGCCATTTAACAAACTTTAAAGGCTGAGCAAATACTTTAAGCCAAGCTCAACAATCTCCTAGAATTAAATCCACAGGAAATTTAAAAAATTCTAAAGAACCTCCATGAAAACTGAATTTTTACTACAGAGGGGTTCTTGCTCTTAGATTTGCTCACTGAGACTGTAGAAGCAGAGCCATCACAAGTAAATTATCAAAGAAAAGTATTTGTTAAGTAAATCTGCCTTTCCTGCAGCATTTTCCAACACAAAGACCACTCCATACTGTGATAGGAATATTCAAACTGTATGGCTGCCACCCTGGCTAGTAATATCCACCTGACCACCTCAGATCATGAAACAATGAAGAATCAAAAAATAAAAGTGAAAAATAAAACACATTGTACAACATTTTGCTTACCAATTTAGTCAGTTAAAATGTGTATTAGCAATCCCATGCCTCTTGTAAGGTGTAACTTAAACACTTTATGCCAATTTCAGGTCTCAAACAGTGTTGCTTTTCTGACAGGGCTGCAATTCCCTGGTGTGGCTTGGACTGGAAGACAAAGGATCACTGCAAATCTCTGTGGGTTGTGAGGATTGAGTGTAGAGGGGACAAATGTAGAAAGGCACATGAGCTGCTACAGCTGTTTGCCACAATGTTTGACAAATTCAGTACTTAGTTCAATGATTACACTTAGCTACAAATTACTTCCACAAAACAAAGACTTTGCTAAGCTCCCTAGCAAGTCAGCAACACCTGAAGGTTCATGTGCTGACTCTGGACAAATGGGAGGCAGAGAAGTGATTTTTAGATATTTGTAGGAAGTGGTAGGACAAGAGGAAAGCTAGGCATCACTTCAGATACATATTAGAAGATAACAGTCAATCATCATTAAAACTTAGTATTAATCATTGTCATTAAAACTTAGTGCAGCATCATTAAAACTTAGTATTCCTACCATGACAATAGAAAAAAATTATAGTTCTTTCTCATACCTGAAATACTGCCTTTGACATTTTAACATAGTAGAAATGGCTCAGAGAAAAGTGTCAGATTATTTTATATGAGATATTAAGACAGATTTTGCTAATCTAGATTAAAAAAAAAAAAAAAAAGAAAAAGCGATTTCTAGCTGTTTTAAATACTACTCCACAAGTTTCATTTAACCAGCACTGAAGTGCCTTGTTAAGCAGTCTTAACACAGTGGGTCAATTTATATATTCCCCTGTTTCCAGTGTGCTTTACTACAAGTTGGTAAATGTATTTCCGTGGTATAGAATGTTCATTTAAATAGTCCCTCTACACAAAAGGACATTCAAAATGTATAGCACTTAAACCTGCCCAAAGCAAAGTAAGTCAGTATCTCAGTATCACCTCTGGAACACACTGCTACAGCATGTTATAGAGTGTATTTTTTGAGCTAAAATGGGTTGAGTCAGAATTTGTATCAACAACACAAGCATCTGTTATTGTGCTAGGTTAAAATAACCCTTGTAAGAGCTATCTGTCCTTATGTCTCAGAACATAAGTTGATCCCCATATAAATTGTGAAGATAATTTCCCCATATCACACTGTATTGCACAATTGACCAAAAATATGACTATTTTACTTATCTTGAAGCATCTGATCCTGATCGTGTCAGTTAACAGTTACTTCTTGGAACAAGACTATTCAGTTACAGAGCAGACCATGAAGCCTGTTTTGTTGCAGCAATTTTTTTGTTGTTGTTCATTTTTTGGAAATATAACTGCTGGTCTTTCAGTTTTGCAAAAACTTTTGGTTTTGGTTGTCTATCAGGCAGCTTGTCCTCAATCAGTTACACCACTAGAATGGTGTTGGTGATAAAACCATTGCCTGGTCTTCCCAGCAAGCAGGCTATACTGCCAGGTGTCCTGAAGGAAAGACCACCATGTCAACTTCTGTTCCTTCCCTTGCATACATAAACAAATTCTTATTTTCCAAAGACCAAAATCCATTCACCATCTTCAATTCATCAGTCAAGTTTCCACCTTGAAGCGTGACACCTGTACAGTTTTTACAATCTTAGTGTTGGGTTTTCCATCAAAATTATTAGTGGATAGCAGAGGTGGTTCTTCTATTAGGCCGTCCTTAGATGCATTCTGCCTCTGAAGAGATTAAATTAAATATGTTGTTGAAAAGATACAGCAGAATTGCAACACTATTTTGCTAACTTGCTATGAAAGCCTTAGGTTATGGGTATGGCAATTCATATATACATATATATACACTAATCAAGTCCCTACATTTATTTGATCAAACAGAACTTTTTCCCCTTCTTTCTTCCTCCCAGCTGCTGCCCCTTTGTGCTATTGCCTAGTCAGGAAATGCCATGATTAATTATTTGATATTTAGCAAAACACAGCAAGCA